CCCAATAAGAACTGAAAGTCATTCCGAACAAATAAATGCATAAATGCGCTCTGCGTGATTGGTCAAGCTCTACAGAACTGTCCCAATTTCGCATCGCTACGTTGTGAACCTTCAGCCTACAAATTTTTCAAAATTGAGTTATCGATATGTCTTGCATAGTAGTTATCGCAACCAGCAACAACTAATCATCTCTAGAAATTTGGCTGACCTAACTGGATATGACCTGGGATTTGATCCAGGAACCATGCGCGCGGTAGTGGCCCCTGTTTTCACCCCACAATCTCTGCTTTAAGGCAAGCCTCAGGATAAAACTGCTGGAAAGAGCGCTTCATATGACTGAGCTGCGGAGACGGCCTGAAAGTGGAAAGGAAAGCTAGAGAAATCTTTGGGATCGCTGAAATTAAGGCCTTAACCTTCAAAAAGGTCGGATGTGGAACGATGGCGAGGCAGGGCGGTCAAAGAAGACAAAACAAGTGAGATCACGCCGTTCGAAGCGTTGCAACGGGGGTCGATGGTTGCAGGCCCGTAAGGATTAGCGCCCTAACCGCGCAACTTTTGCGGCGAAGCTGGAGTGATCTAGGTAGGTAGGACCTTACAATTTCCCTCGCGGTATCCTTCCCACAAGTCGGGCTAATTCCGGGTTTGCCTTTGAATGAATATTCTATGAAATATGAGTCGACAATTTTCCTGCCATCATAAATACATATTTCAGTGTTGAGTGTGTGAAATAAGAAATATGTACCTATTCGGGAGCGGCGCACACTGACGTGCGGTACAATTTATTATTATCCAGGGTAATTCGTGTTGGTTTGAGGCTACTGTTGTCATTGTAGAAATTATGGGGTTGCAATTTGTGTGCAGTTCCACCAAGAGCGCTCTTGCCTCAATAAGTCTCAAAACTGTGGTAGTGCCTTTGAGTACGGAAGTGATATACATGTGTATCAACGAAAGTCAAATGGCTAAAGTTGATTCTGAAATAAAGTCAGAGATCGAAAAAGGGGAAACCTACCTAATGGGAAGATAGACGGATCCTTTGATGTAAAAAAACGCGTTCCGCGGCGAAGGGTGTGCCCCCGGCAGCCTAGCATGGCCTTCCCCGCGCTGTTTAACGCCCACCCTCTAGCCGTCTGACTGTAGCGGCACAGCAGAGATAGAGAGGAGAGAGAGCATTATCCTTGAAGAGGCAGCACCGATGAGAGTCGCATCAATGCGGAAATCAACGGGCAAGGAAGGGGTCCCATTTCTCGGGTTCTGGGCCGTTTCTCATGGTTTTTCCTTCTTTCGTGTACCACTGACCACCTACAGCTTGTTTCTAATGGGTTTCCTTTTCATCGTAATTTTCGCCTTCAAGCAATTACTGCAGGAGCTAATCACACGCAGCATACCACTTCCATGGATGTACCTTTCGACAGGCAATCACCACTTGTTAAAAAACCACACTGCAAGATTGTGGAGAAGGGCTAGAGTTTTGCTTTTGACACAACAGTGGAATAAAAACTACCGCCCCTATCCGGCAGTGAGATCCGTGTTCATGCAGACTTCCCAACAAAAATGGCGAAGGGCTCAAGAAAAGGTAATAGTTTCCGCCAGCGGAATGACTACCTTGTTACAGTTGTATCCTACCAACTGGTAGTGATTACAATTATCATTTGCCATTTATCAAAATCACTATAAACTATTCTAACTATCAGACTTATCTGAAGGCCGTCCTCACTTGAGTTGCAAAGTCTGCAGTACAGACTCCCAGCTGCAGGAGACAAAGGGCAGCGGCAGCTATGCAGCGAAAATTTTCGTAACACACGAATATTCCAGTTTTCACTTACTCGTCATTTTTTTCATTTTTCATTTTTTTTCGCGATGAAAAAGTAAGTAAAAAGATTGGCTTAACTCTATGAATTACTGATAGTGAAGGTATCGCTAGACTTCTGTAAAATTATGGAAGTCTCCATTACTCAAGACAAGAAGCAATTCCACGCCTTAACTTTATGAGCAACTATTTTCCTGCAAGAAGCCTTAAAAAATAAGTTTGCGCTTTTTAGAAAGCGAAAATCGTGTACACCCGAAATATGTTTTATTATATTTTCAAGAACAAAAAACCCTCGAAAATTGTCACCGTCTATGAAAATGTCTAACTACAGGAGAATAACCTTTTATTGAAGCTACTTGTGCATTTCCCGAGGTACGATTATTGTTTTGAATAAGTATATTTGATATGCTAAAAAGAAAAGCAGCAAGCCTTCTGGTTTACAACGCACTATCGCTAAGGCTGCCTCTGAAAGTATTTGTGGCTTCTGGATTATGAAAGTTCGCTATAAAGGAACACCTTCGCTCGAGTAGTTCATCAATACGCAGTGCGATTGTCCGCTGTCTGTGTCCGCGTCTTCTCACCGCGCGACGGGCCTCCTGTCAGGAACACAAGAAATACCGCTGCTCACCATTTTGGCTTACCTGTTTTTGCTCATCAATCAGATAATATGGCCATTCACACGAATACATAATTGGGCGACCAGTTGCATTTAAAGCCTGCTCCATCTCCGGGTATCCTATAAAAGGTCAAGTGCGCCAACTCCAATCTATTGTATTGAACAGATTAACTGGACACCCGTACTAATCGACAAGCTCGAAATACAAAAAGCGAAAAGCTTTGCCTTGTCAGATGAAGCCGCGCCAAGTTGTTGCAGTTCTATAGCAGAACACCAAGTCGGTGGGTATGACAAACAATTCATGTCGTTGATAGAAAATTTATAAAGGGAGTTGTACTGCGTTTGCCTTGTTGGAGGGCGGAGGGAGGGAAGAGATAGGCCACCGGGAAAGTCGTTTCATTTCAAAACATAACCGAATAAACAGACAAATGTATGTGAGGTTTCAAGAAAGTTTGAGGAGTTTCAAACGACTTGGTATCTTATCTTGGCATATCTCACTCCAAACCTCTTTCTTGGTACAGTTTTCGGAGGTCGTCCGGTTGAGAAGCTGCAGATGTGCGGAGCAGATGCAAACATACAAAAATGCTTAAGTTCAAAAATTCTCTCTGGAAAAAAATCCTTTATGCTCACCAACACCCTGCTCCGACTGTTTCATGTGGCAACCGTCTAGCTTCAGATAATCGCACTCCCAGTCGGCAAAAGTCTGCGCATCGATCTGAAATTTCCTTATTTGTTTCCTTCGCACTGTCTAACGGATCTGAAGTGCATCCTACATATTCTGGTTAAGAGCATATTGCTGACTTTCATAAACTCAACAAACCGCCTCCAAGAAAGCTTTCGACAATCGGGTATAAAGTATTGTTAAATGAAAAACTGAGAGCTTTTCTTATAGGATGTGCGAGCACATTATTTTATGTATTCTGATACCATTCCGTCACCTAAACCATAACCCCCTAACCTGCTGTATGGAGGGTAGTCCTTACTAAAAAAGTAACCTAGT